GCCAATCAAACGGAGCCTTAAAATAATTATTTTTTTCCTTATGCCTAGGTATCGACTAGGCACGTAAAGCTTGAAACTTGAATTTTACGTCTAGACACGTTTTACGCTTTTTAGAACACTATTTCAACCACATATTTCATTGGACCTACAATTTCAATCAATTTTCCTATCACATATTTAATCAACTTTTATCAAAAACTATTAAAAATTTTGTTTTTATTCAAACAAAATAGGAGGTAAATTTGCAACACTTTAATGCAGACTGCTTAAAGATTGCATCATAGCTCTAGGGGCATTACTCCCTATATTATTTAGAAAACTTATTAGCACAAAACGTCCTTACCTTTGGTCTTTAATATGCAAAATGTCCATATGTTTCAATTTTTTACATTTTCACCTTTATTTCAAAGTATCATTGTGGAAAACATCCTTCTGCTTGGACTTACTTTTATTTTAAAACTCGAAGAATAAAATGGTCCGACCATTTCAAGAAACTCTTCTTTCCCGCAAGCACATAACAAACGCACGCATGCACGGTTTCTCTTCAACATCTCCACTCTTCACGTCCCTCTAGCACCCATTCCCTTTATCCACTTCTCCCATCATCTAAGATTTCTCATCTCGTAATGGGCTACTCTCTGCACACAATGGAAGGTGAACTACAAGAAGGTAATTTTTCGCTATGGGTCTGTTTTTTCTTGTTTTGCAATCAGAATTTGAAGCTTTGAGTGATGAGACTTCCTTGCTATTTTTTCATGGAATTTATTGTTGTTTTTCACAAGATTTTGAATCGAAGCAAAATGCTTTTTCCATTTATTAGAAAGCCCGACGATGAGCCACCCATATACAGTATGAATGCTATCCATTCGTGATCACTGATTTCCCTTCGTGATTTTGTTGTTATGTAGAACAAAGATTGGAATTTTATTGAAATAAGAAATAGAAAAAACACTTTACCACCGTGACGGAAATTTTTGGGGGTTTGTTGGGTTTTTGTTAGAAATTACATGAAGTTAGTTGGAAATTGAAATTTCCGTAGTTTTGACTGGTTTTTTAGCGTTATATGATGTGCAATCATTTCTGCCCTAATTTGATTAGTGTGCATTTCCTCATTTCCACACCACTTTTCATTGTTCATTCCTTTATCTCCATATTCTTTTGCATGCAGGTACAAATTCAAGCTCTATTTCACCGTTGAAGTGCATCACGGAGGCCACTTTTATGATAAGTCAAACAATATGCATACGAACATGGATTCATACTTTTTTGGATTTCTTCCATGCTGTATTGTTTACTGAGATAATTTGAGGTAGTTCTTAAATGCGATTGATAATGATTTGGTGTTGGAGTTTTACTACAAAAAGCGAAAAATGAGTTTAGGGAAGGGACTAGACTGGAGGGTAGAGATGACATTAAAGAAATGTTTAGGGATAGAGATGGGCATCCAATAGTGCAGATATATGTCATAGCCCCATTGCAATTGTATGCATTGATCTCAAAAGTTGATGTGCAATTGAATAGAGGTTCACGAACAAATATGATGAAACACAAACATTTGAAGGTTGTTACGTACCTACTATGAAAGAAACGGGGGTGGGGAGCTTGAAATTAATTGGTCAGATCAATTTTTTTCATGAGAAATGCTGAAGAGTTGCAGTCATATTACGAGAAAACCCTACAATACCATTTTGAGGAAAATCAAAATGTGGGTGATATGGGTGTAAAATATGATGAAGTCAAGGTTGAAGCTAATAATGAAGAACAAAGTAGGGGGAAAATAGTTGAAGGTTTAGTGAAATCTTATTATGAAATGGAGCATGAGCTCATTTCTAATGCTAAAGCTCATAATCGAAGGGTTAGTTTTGATTTTGGATTCAGTATGTCAGATGAGCAGGAGGTTAGGGATTCGGATACCGACTATGATGATTTCGATGAGTTGCGAAGCATTGATAGTAAAGAGGAGGATGATACAACTTCAAGAAGAAGGGTTTCAACCGATGCTTTCAATACAATGACTAATATGGAGGATCTAATATTCAGAAAATGTAACTTCAACACATTCTTTACCTTACTTTAAACCTATTCTTTATGAATGCTTTATATGATTCCATTTTCTGAATGTTAGGTTTTGTATTTAAGTCCAAGTCAACGTTCAAGGATGCCATCAATGCACATTCAGTTAGAAGCAATAGGGAGATTAAATACAAGAAGGGTGATGCTTTGAGATTGAGAGCCAAGTACAAGAGAGAGTGTCCATGAGTGTTGTATGCTACCGAGGAGCATAAGAAAACAAGTTGGGTAATCAAAACATATGTAGAAGAGCATACTTGCCCCATGGTGTGTAAGAATTTCAGAGTGAGCTCGACTTATTTAGTAGATATTTATCTGACGAGAGGTCTGAACCAAAAATGTCGATGAGTACATTTATGGAGAGGGTTAAAAGGGATTGTTTGGGTGATATCTCATATTATCAAGTGTATAGAACACAGGGAAAAACACTTGAAAAGATTATAAGAAGTGTGGTGGACCATTACAAAATACTGTGGACGCTAATAACGGCATGTATCCAATAATGTATGCAGTTGTTAAGGTTGAGAATGGAGATAACCGGAGGTCTTTTTTGGAGATGTTGAAGGATGATTTACATATACACATCATTATCTTTAGGATGTAGCCAGAGCCACTATTGTGCCACAGTGGCTCGAACACATGCAAAAGATTTCAGACTTAGACCTGGCTACATATGGTTGGCTTGAACCAAAACCAGCATCCCATTGGAGCAAATCCCACTTCAGAGAGTAGACTTAGTATAATATGCGTTTTGAACATTTTTTGTAAATCATTCAATAGCATAATTATTAATGCAATATAGAAGACTAGTCTAACCATGTTTGAGGAGATTAGGTTGTATTTGAAGAAGAGAATTGTAGGATGTAGGGGGTCAGTTGATAGATGGATAGTAGCAATAGGCCCTAGAATCCAAAAGATTCTCGACAAGAACAGTAAGCTGGCAAGGTTTGAATGGGCTGAATATGCTAGGAACGAGAAGTTCCAAGTTTGGCACAATGTAGGCACTGTATTACATGCTGTTAACCTCAGGGCAAGAACTTGTACATGTCATGCTTGGTAATTACTAGTAATCCCTTGTTGTCATGTAATTGCCTCAATGGTATCTAGAGGCCTTAGTGTAATTGATTATGTAGATGCCATCTACAAAAAGGAGTCTCACCTCATCACATATATGTCATCAATTTTCCCCATTACAAGTTCGGACTCATGGCGTAGTTTAGGTCTCAGCCCTCTCAATTTACCTGTGTACACCAAAAAGTTTTGGAAGCCAAAAAGAAAAAAAAGAAAAGAGTCAAATGAGGTGGAGTCTTCAAGTCAGGTAAAGAAGTCCAAAAAGTCTTAGCAAAATGAAAGCCCTTCGGAGACAACTTCAGCGGCATATCTGATGCAAGGAAGAGAACGAAGATGACTCGAACATGTCGAAAATGTGGTGAAACAGGGCATAATAGGAGGAGCCAAAAAGGGGGCACAACCACCACCACCTAATTAAGGACAGCCTGTTATTATTATTATTATTATTATTATTATTATTATTATTATTATTATTATTATTATTATTATTATTATGTTTTTTGTCGAATGCACTTGTAGTGCATTGAAAGGTTGGGCTGAATTGTACGTGCATATTTTAGATGCAAATTTGTTTGTGACTGGTTTGATCACTATGTTGAGTTACCGTGACAGAGACAGTTTTCACATAGACACGAAACATATAGAAATTTTGCGCAAATCTTGTTGAAATGTAGGGACTTTTTCACAAGACACTTTGAAATGTTGGGATGTTTTAAGCAAAAATCCTTTGAAATGTGGAGAGCGGTGGTGGATGAGAGCAGTCATAGAAGCCACAACTGAAAAATGGAAAATGCACTAGCTTCGGTGATGATGACCAGTAGACGTCAAATAATAAGAATTACGATTTTACGCACAACATTTCAAATTCAAAAACTCGAGACATAAAACTGCTTCGTTGTGTTTGATTAATCTTCATGTTTGCTTATTACCGCTTCAATTCTTTTTCTTTTTATTTTTTAGAATAACCCGTTTATGGCAAGAAGAAGAGTTTCTTGAAGTGGTCGGACCATTTTACCTTCAATTTTTAAAGTAAGAGTAAGTTCAGGTGTGCATTTAACAGTGGAACTCATAGCAAATAGACGAAATGACGTTTTCCAAAATAAAACGTTGAAATAAGGGTAAAAATGCAAAAATCTGAAACGTATAGACGTTTTGCACACTAAAAGCCAAACATAGAGACGTTTTGTGTTAATAAGCCTTATTTTGAAAAAACAGAAAAAATAAAAAATAAAAAAAAATAGGGTGGACCTGCGTGCCAACTAAGTGGATTGGCAAGCCTGGAAGTTGAGGCCCAGTACGGCCCACAATGAGCCCAAGCCCGTACTTAGTCTGTTTTTAAGGGCTAGAAAATTCAAGTCAAAGACTGTTCGACTCATCTTGACACATCTAATTTCTGCTCTATTTGAATTTTTTTCACATAGCTCGTGCTAAATCTCGATTAGTACAAATGCACAAAATAAAACTTGTTTTAATCTCACCGTAAGAATTTGAAAATAGTCCAAGATAAAAGGGACATTCTTTAGAGGATTATAATCCAAGAGATTTTCATTTTCAAATACAATCTTCAGCAAATACCGAAAGAATTAATTGTTTCATAATCATCCTAAACTAGACCTCGTTACTTCGTATGCCAAGAAGCACGCTGCATTTGCAGGAATGCTTCGAGCCATTGCAGGCCCGAAACCCTTGTAAAGGCCTTTGACTCCTTCAGATGCCAAGATCTTCCTAAATGCATCGATAGAGCCCGTGAACTTAGGATTCTTGTAATCATCAACTTGAATTACACTCTTGACCACATCAGTCGGGTAAACAGAAACCCAGAACGCAGCTCCAGCCAATCCTCCGGATAACATTAGTGAACCTCGTCCCAATTCAGAAGTGTCCCGTCCTCCAGCAAAATAGTTTTTAAGGGCTTCATATACACCGAACATAGCAGCATTTCCCGGTACTTCACGTGCGAAGGTGGGAACCAACCCCTTGAACAAACCCCGCGCACCTGCTGTTTGAAGAACGTGCCTAGCCACGTCCATTGGTCCACCATACTTAACAGCAACAACAGCTGAATCAGCACTTGCCAATGCACTCTGAGCTTGCAATCTGCATTCGTATAATAATTCTGAATTTAAATAGGTAAAATACTAAAATAGTCTCAAAATATTACTACTAATATTATCCATTTGGATTCCGAAGTTTAAATTAGAATATATCCATATACATATGAAAAAACAGAGCAAAAATAAATACACTGGCGCCTACACAATTTTGAACCTAGCCCATGGTTCGGGTGATGCAATGCACTAGGTAAAGAATAGTAAATCTAGAAATCATATTGAACTCATTAAGATCTTGACAAAGAATTCGGCAAAAACTGACCTGCATTTTATCAATTCTGTAGGACAGGCCAGAAAAGACACAGCAACTCCAGCTCCAGCGCCACAAACGACTTGCTGATTCACTGTAAGAGGAGCACCGGGTTCAGACCTCAATAATGCCTCCATTTGACCCCGAACTGTGAAGAGAACTGCATTGAAGGCCGCTACAGTGGCAAGTGGGGCCCCCATGCCTTTATACAAACCCCTTGGGCCTTCTGCAGCTATTGTTTGCTTCACAGCATCGATAGCACCCGAGTATTTGGGAGGCTGGCCAGGAAGTGGAACGGGCTGGCTTTGGAGTTTGACCTTGATGGTATCAAAAGGGTGCCCNCACAATGAGCCCAAGCCCGTACTTGGTCTGTTTTTAAGGGCTAGAAAATTCAAGTCAAAGACTGTTCGACTCATCTTGACACATCTAATTTCTGCTCTATTTGAATTTTTTCACATAGCTCGTGCTAAATCTCGATTAGCACAAATGCACAAAATAAAACTAGATTTAATCTCACCGTAAGAATTTGAAAATAGTCCAAGGGTAAAAAGGACATTCTTTAGAGGATTATAATCCAAGAGATTTTCATTTTCAAATACAATCTTCAGCAAATACCAAAAGAATTAATTGTTTCATAATCATCCTAAACTAGACCTCGTTACTTCGTATGCCAAGAAGCACGCTGCATTTGCAGGAATGCTTCGAGCCATTGCAGGCCCGAAACCCTTGTAAAGGCCTTTGACTCCTTCAGATGCTAAGATCTTCCTAAATGCATCAATAGAGCCCGTGAACTTAGGATTCTTGTAATCATCAACTTGAATTACACTCTTGACCACATCAGTCGGGTAAACAGAAACCCAGAACGCAGCTCCAGCCAATCCTCCGGATAACATTAGTGAACCTCGTCCCAATTCAGAAGTGTCCCGTCCTCCAGCAAAATAGTTTTTAAGGGCTTCATACACACCGAACATAGCAGCATTTCCCGGTACTTCACGTGCGAAGGTGGGAACCAATCCCTTGAACAAACCCCGCGCACCTGCTGTTTGAAGAACGTGCCTAGCCACGTCCATTGGTCCACCATACTTAACAGCAACAACAGCTGAATCAGCACTTGCCAATGCACTCTGAGCTTGCAATCTGCATTCGTATAATAATTCTGAATTTAAATAGGTAAAATACTAAAATAGTCTCAAAATATTACTACTAATATTATCCATTTGGATTCCGAAGTTTAAATTAGAATATATCCATATACATATGAAAAAACAGAGCAAAAATAAATACACTGGCGCCTACACAATTTTGAACCTAGCCCATGGTTCGGGTGATGCAATGCACTAGGTAAAGAATAGTAAATCTAGAAATCATATTGAACTCATTAAGATCTTGACAAAGAATTCGGCAAAAACTGACCTGCATTTTATCAATTCTGTAGGACAGGCCAGAAAAGACACAGCAACTCCAGCTCCAGCGCCACAAACGACTTGCTGATTCACTGTAAGAGGAGCACCGGGTTCAGACCTCAATAATGCCTCCATTTGACCCCGAACTGTGAAGAGAACTGCATTGAAGGCCGCTACAGTGGCAAGTGGGGCCCCCATGCCTTTATACAAACCCCTTGGGCCTTCTGCAGCTATTGTTTGCTTCACAGCATCGATAGCACCCGAGTATTTGGGAGGCTGGCCAGGAAGTGGAACGGGCTGGCTTTGGAGTTTGACCTTGATGGTATCAAAAGGGTGCCCAACTATCAATTGTGCTGCCCCTCCAACAGTCCCAGCAGTTAGATCTTTAGCCACATCACCCATCTGAAATTTTTTTGTCGTAAGATAATTAAGAAATTTTTTTAAATTATTTAGTACTCAGATTTTGCCTTGTTTTAAGGACGGCCTTCAAGTAATTCTGGGGGAGAGAAGGCAAAGAAAAAAATAAAAATCACCCGAGTGAAGAAAGTGGGACTAATCCTCAAAATTTTGATGTTTAGAACACAAAATCTAGATAGCGAACAAGATATATTGTAATACATAAGATCTTAAAATTCGTGGTAGACTGAAACAAACAAGAAATGAAAGCTCTCTCCCATGAGTCAGGAGCTAAGTTGATTGTTAATTTTAGGGGTGCGATCAATTAAATTACCATAATAGGTGAATTATCTTAGTTTTTCAACTTTTCTTTATTTATTTTAATTTTTAGCCACTTTGTTAGTCAACCAACTTCTAGAAATCTAAATGGACTGAATTAACCATTGTGCATTCAACAATAGAAAATTCCAGTTAGAGGGTAAAATGTAAACAAATGACAGTTTACAGTGATGCCTAATGTACAATATGCTGACTAGGGAGGTCTCTGTAACTTCAGAAAAATAAACTCCAATGTATTGGATTAGAGAAAAGATTGATGTAACAGAAGACTCGAGCTAAAACAACACTTGGCCGCTTACTCCATTGGGAGTCGGGAAGAGCTCACCCTTGGCATCGGTCTAAACTGGTTATATGGACCGGGGAGGTCATGGGAGCTTCAGAAACTAAAATTAAATTGTACTGAACTCTAGGAGAGATTAGAGTAATTTATCTTGATTTCAAAATTAGACAGGCTAGCTCTCCTATAACGATCATAGATTTACACTGAAATGTAACACAAACCAAATTATACCTATTACTACCCATCCCTTCCTTGAATAATCACTTCTCTTATTTATATTATTCTTTCAAACTCAGAGAGTATTCTGTCAGTTGAGAAATTAGTAAGAAGAAACAAAAATGCAAACATGAACTGTCAATTAGTCTCATGTCAAGGAAGCCAAGACTTGAGAGGTATAAAATAACAAAATGATGTCCTCATGGTGCTGTCAGAATAAATAAGAGATAAAATGGCATGTTGTCACAAACATGTCGTCAGCAAAAATTTATTGGAGATATAATTTTTGTATTGTTAATCAAAAGCGGAAAAACATCAATTAATAAAAAGAGACGTGAATTATAATGAATAATACCAAGCTGAGATCTTTTTCTAGCATAGTTTCATTAAAAGAGATTTGACTATTCTTTTGTTTTTTGAATTTAGACAATGATAAGTTTTTCAGGTTCAGTCTTATTTTGGCTGACATGGATTTAAAACACATCGGTTTGGAGAAATATAAGCAAAGAGCAGGGTAACATCTAGGTGGTGTTATCTACAAAGCTAACTTCCTCAATACTTCCAACTGTTTAAATGGGGGCAGAAAACGGAGTATTTGAATCCATGCCACACATTCTTTGCAATTATATAACCAACATGCAAGATTAATGAACAAATAGATATGAAAACATTGCCAAGATGAAAGGAAACAAGTTGAAACGCTCAATCATTAGTAAACACATTCACAGCCTGTCTGGGTGGCTGAAAAACTGGATTAAAATTACTTTTATGACCGTTAAAAGGAGCAACGGTTACATTTCCACAGATTGCGGCTGCCCTTGGTGAGAAACGGTCATAAACCAACGGCTGAAAAATCAATTTTCAAAATGTGAAAAGCCTTCCCAGACAGACTCTCAAAGAATTAATTTTAATAGAGTGCACGGAAACAATGCAAAAATGGAAGTCCCTGAAACTTCATTTCCCTGCTGATTATAATGCCAGAGAGAAATCAGAATGTATTATAATCATATGTTAAGGACCAGAATCAATAATTTGACATTAAATCCAACCTTTCACCAACAAACATGGCTTGAACAATTCGGAAAGGCAGTTTGAATAAGTATTTCATAATTGTGCTAGAGCAAGTTACAAATGTTTTTGTGTAGATTTTAACAAAGTAAATTCCACAAATTCATAAGAAAATCAGACATATTCTCACCAAGCAGCTATTCATCTATAGTGTATGGGTGAATCGTGCAGGTCACTAAAATGGACCCATATACAGCTTTAGTGTAGGAAAAGCTACGATAAACTGTCTCCTTTATTATGAAAGATGCTAAACATACATTAGATTTATTGTCAGGCAATGCCAGAGCGGGCAAACGGCATATTAAGATTTGTCTAGCATACAATACATGTAATCAATGAAAAAGAATTCAATGTATTTATAGGGTAGAAACTTTTAATCTTTACAAGCATTCTGAAGATGAGCACACTCTTATAATGCTATTACAGACTTTACAATTATGAACAAATTAATTAGTCATTGGTTTAAGTATATATATGGGACAACACAGGAGGATCAGAAGAAAGAGATATAAATGTAAAGACTCCTCTACAGAGGATAAAGAAATCCATCAAGGGTTATCAAAATCGTTGAGAGTATAATTTTTTCTCATCTACTTTATCATCAAATATGTTAAACATAATTTCTTAGATTCATCATCAGGCAATACCAGAGCAATCAGTCGGCATACCAAAATTCATCTAGCAAGCAGTACGTGTCATCAATTAAAAAGAATTTAAATGTACATATCAGATAACAAGTTTTAATCATTACAAGCATTCTAACGATGAGCTGACTTTAGTAATACTATTGCAGGAGAACACAGGAACCACTTCTATGCAAGTTCTCGATCTCAGTTTCCATAAACCAATTAGCCCTTCAAACACCGGGAACCACTTCTACTCAAGATTCGCGGAAGCTGTAATTTTTCGTACACCAATTTTTCTTCAACAGATTTACAAAAATTTTCAGACTTCGGAGACTTTTACGAGATCCTACTTCCTATAAACTCAGATTCAGTTGAAACGGGCATATCCATTTAGTGCAGAAAAGAGGAATATCAGAACAACTAATCCACATAGATTTACAATCCCAATAGTGATGTATAAATATAAGACACGAGAAAGAGATAATCATCCATTTCTATGAAAACCATCGAAAGAGAAAGAAAACTAAAAGCTTACCTTGGCCGATTCCCTTTAATCCCAAACGAGAATCTCAGAGAATGAACAAGCAACAGATCAAACTTCTTGTGCTAAAATCCCAATCAATGAAATCTGAGATTAACACCACACAGAAACACCATGAATAACTTCATATATATTCCAATAGGCACAAATCTAAACACACATGAAGAACACAATTTGCAATAAGAAAAAAAAATACCAAATGGGTATTATACATTAAACTCTCAAATATTATTAGCTGTCTAAAATCATGGAGTAGGAAAGTGGGCTGTATTTATTTCAGTCGTAGAAATCAGTGCTGTGTGCATAAAAAAAATAGTTGAATCAATCTTTTGGGGCCGGTCACAGCCACATGAGTGAAATCTAAAACAAGACAAAACCAAAGAATTGTTTCTTGAGGATCAAATTCAAACCATTGATGGCTGGGTGAGGGAGTTGCGGACACAATTCTTAAGAAAATTTCAACCTCTTCTCTTTAAAAGGCAAAATGCGAGAGGTGAACAAAGTTAGTGGATATACACACCTGACCTAACCAAACACCAAATACATTATGATCCAGTCCAACTTATTTTCTCGAACTCGTTCCCAATCTTCCTACTTTATTTTGATATTTTTAAATTTAAATCATATTTTAAAAATAACAAATAATCAAATGCGATGGTAAATAAAATATTTTAACCATGTCACGTCATGTCCTGTCCCGACCCCGTTTCTTCCATGTGAGTTGGTAAATATTAGGAATGAGCAATGAAATTTGAAATTAAATTGAAGTCTATTATTTTATTTCAATTACAACAAATTAAAACTTAGTGAACCAATATAAAATTTACCCTAATATTTGTAATGGATTGGTAGAGCAACATTGATATTCATGTTCAATTCAAATATTTAATATGTCGGTTAAAATGATAAAATTGAAAAATGACGTTGTGAGATATCTTAAACAACGTTATTTCAAGAGCTTGTCGATGGATGCCCCCATCCATGGTGGTCCCAAGGAAAGATGTCCAAAAATATTTAGCCCATCTCTGACACATTTTAAAATAAAATAATTTATTTCTCATACTTATTATCAATCACACATTATTTTACGCATAAACCAAATTTTTTCCGCACTTTTTAACTATACATTCTTCAAAAAATTATTATTGAAAACATCATTTTTACACAATAATAGTCATCTAACAAAGGCTTAATAATAATAATGATGATGAAATTGGGACATCAGATGGATTGGGCTTCTTGATCCATTTTCAATTCATTTTATCCATTGATCTTCTTTCGTCCTTGGTAGAGATTAAATTTAGATTTTTAGTAAATTTCGATAAAAACTAATAAAATATATAGTTGAAAAGTTGTGGTCCCATAAAATATGTGGTTAAAATTAATTGTTAACTTTGACTTAACTAAATTTTAATTCGTACCAAACAGGGGCTTTATTTCTAAGATTATATTCTCTCTATCGACCCATTAATAACTTTGTTCTCAATGTTTTTTTCTTTATCCATCAACTCGGGGCATTATTCTTAAAGTTCCTTTTTTTGAAGGCATGTTCTTAAAGTAGCGTTTCTTTTAAATCAAATGAATCTAGACTTTTATTCATAAAAGGTTCTTTTTATTGAATGATTCACATCCTATATATATATATATATATTAAAAGTAGTTATGTAACGAAATTTCTTGTTTTTAACGGAAAAACTAACGGAATTTGTTGTTTTAACGGATTGGAATTTTTTATTTTAAACAGACAGCTGCACCTTCTTTCAGTATTTTTATTATAACTTTGTATTCTGATATCCTATTGAGGCGATGCAAAATGTGTTGGAAAGCTAACTCATCTGACTACAACTTTAATTCAGACATCATTCTCTAATTCGATCACTTCCTATGCCAAAAATAGGTCTCAATATGAGACTAAAACACCGGAGCATAACTTTTCGGTTGGAAATTAATTTGTGATTATCTTTTGACTAAATTTGATCCCCTTGACATCTTCCTTTATCCAATTGACTCCGAGCACTCTCAAATCTTCATCGTGAGATTCGGCACAACTTTTAAGTATTTACATTTTAGCCC